TCCCTCCCTTCCACTCTCTCTAAAAATCAATTGGAAAAATATCCTCGGGTGAGGATTAACAAAAAACAAACAAACATATACACATAGCCCATGGACACAGACAATAGTGTAGTGGGGTCAAGAAAGGGAGTGCAAGGGCTGGGTGGAGGTGGGCAAAGGGGGGGGAGAATGGGGGACATCTGCAATAGTGTCAACAATAAAAAAATTAAATAAGAAAAGAAAGAATTCACTTCTTACTGCTCATCAGATCACTCAAGCAGGAGAGAAACCCTATGAATGTGCAGAATCCAGAAAAGCCTTCAACAAGAAGGCACACCTCAGTGTACCTCAGAGAATGCATACAGGAGACAAACCTTTGAATGTAATGAATGTGGCAAATCCTTCAAAGTTCATTATACATCAGAGAACTCACACAGAAGAATGTTCTTTTTAAAAAAAAAAAAAATCTTTATTGATTTCAGAGAGAGGAAAGGAGAGGGAGAGAGAGAGATAGAAACATCAATGATGAGAGAGTCATTGATTGGCTGCCTCCTGCATGCCCTCAACTGGGGATCAAGCCCACAACCCAGGCATGTGCCCTGGCTGGGAATTGAACCCCGATTGCCTGGATCCTAGGTCGATGCTCAACCACTGAGCTACCCCAGGCAGGGCAGAAGAATGTTCTGAGTGTGAGAAAACCTTCAATTAAAAGGCACACTTCAATCTACACCAGAGAACACACACAGGAGGAAAACCATATGAATGTAATAAATGTGGCAAATCCTTCAAGGAAAAATCAACACTGTGTAGACATCAAAGAACTCATACAAAAGAGAAAACTTATATGGGCTCAGACTGTGAAGAGCCTTCACTCTTAAGCTAAGTCTCAGTGCTCATCAAAGAATTCATACAGGAGAAAAAAGTGATGGATTACTGTACATGGAAAAGTCTTCTCCTGAAAGTCATATCTCATGTTACATCAGAGAGTTTGAACAGGAGAAAATTTTGAGAAATCCTATGAATGCAATAAATGTAATAAAGCTTTCTTCCAGAAATCATATCTCATTATTCATCAGAGAGTTCACACAGGGGAGAAACCCTGTGAGTGTAATGTATGTGATAAAGCTTTTTCCTAGAAATCATATCTTGTTATACATCAAAGAACTCATATAGGAGAGAAACCCTATACATGTGATAAATGTAGTAGAGCCTTCAGTGAGAAGTCAAAACTCACCGTACTTCAGAGAACCCACATAGGATAGGAACCCTATGAGAAAAAACTTCTTCCAGAAGTTAAGGCTCACAATGGATTAAAGAACTCAGAGAAGAGAAACTTTGTGAAAGAAGTGAAAATGGAAAATCTTTCATAGAAAAGGCCAAAGAAAAAGGAAAGGGGGAGGTGGGGGATCATGCTTTAGCTAAGGTGGTCAGGCAGGGCCTTTCTGAGGACATGACATTTTGAGTTTTGACCTGAAAATGAGGTGCCAGCCATACTGGGGTAAGAACATTCCAAGCAGAAGGAATAACAAGAGCCAAAGTCCTGATGTAAAAAACTTGGCCTCTGTACTGGTTATCATGGGTGTATGCTGAATGACTATTTTTTTTATCAGTGAGGTTGTTCAAGTCTGTAATCTTTTGAAGCCTTGAATCTTTTGAATATATGAGAGTCTTCAGCTAAAAGTCAAACCTCACTGTAAATCTTGGCACAGTATAAACAGAAACCCAATTAATTTCAATAAACATAGTCCCATGGAAATAATTAGGGAAATATTCCAACATTAATACCAAACTCTTATAGAAAAAAAATAATAAAATTTATTATTAAAAATAGCTGTTTTGGCATCTCTCATAATGGGGAATAAGTACCATCTACAAGAAAAATAAGATTTACCAATGGATACAAAGTTACAGATTTAAAGATAACCACTAAAGGAACAATGATTATAAATAGACTATAAATGTTATAAATTATTAGAAAGAATGCGTAATCAGAACAATTAAAGAACTGTACACTAGGGGAATCAAATCCAGTTTCCAGAAGTAGCAACAATTGATAATACAGTATTTTTGCCCCAGCCTCTTTTATGGTCAAGATTTTGGGTATGTTTCAAGGTGTGGACCATCCCTCTTTCTGAGCTTGATCATGCAGTCTTCCCAGAAATACCTGATAAGATTTTAGGAACTCGCTTGTTATTTAAAGTCCTCAGAGTTTACTTCTGCTGCTTTTTATGAATAACTATCACATTCAGAAACTGGTACCCAGAGTGATGGCACCCTTTATGGACCCTCAAGGAAATGTGAGATTTGGTTATCCAGGATGGTTGGGGCTGAAGGGAGGGGAAATCCATTTGGCATTAAGGATAGGGACTTGGGGAATTCCTTGACATACAGTGGCAAGTAGCTGCCTTAATAATCATCTGTGTTTAATTTGGATGAAATAAACACTGAAAACAAGGTTTTGGGTAGTTGAGTATACACCCCCAACCAAAGAGGACAAAGGACATGAAGGACTGCTTCCTCATGGTGGTGGCTGCTTTCAATGGGGCTGGCAGCACAAAGAAAAGTTCATCTTCCTAAATTCTCTGCTCAAGACAGACGGTAAACCCAGGCATTCCATAAAAGGAAATGATTACCTTGTGCGTTCATTGAATTCCTGGCCTAAATTTCCAGTCTATCATTTGAAACTTAGGATACTGATTATGAAAGAGGGAGTGGGGGCTGAGAGTTAGAATGGTAATATGTAGGAGGGTGTGGGAGAATGTGAGTACTCCAAACTTTTATTTCCCAATGAGATTCCTGAAGAGACTGTATCTACTTTCATTAAAGGCCCTGTAGTGACCTCACCTGAGAGTGATACTTTTTAAGGGAAAACAATGATCTCCACCCATCTTCCACCCAATAACTGCCTTCTGTACCAAGTATTTTATATAAATGATTTATAAACATTAATTCATTTAATTCTCCCAATAACCCCACGAGATAGTTACTGTCATTATAATCCTCATTTTACAGATGAGAAACTGAGGCACAGAAATATTAAGTGCCTCCCCCAAGGCAACATAGCTTGTAAGTGGTAGAGATGGTATTTGAACCCAAGAGAACCTATGCTCTTAATCACTACACTATCCTCCACATCCCCTACCACCCTGAGTGATCTGGTGTCCCCTGGTTAGAGCTTTGAATATAACAGAAGTGATTGAATGGGGGTACCTCCAGGCATTGGAAAAATGAAGATGGTCAGGCATCAGAGGTCTCTTGCATTGTTTACAAGTACCATCCTTTATTAAATCCAAAGGAAAGAAAAGAAAATCTCTGTCTTTGGGAATGAATCATGAAGTCATTCTCGTTGTGTGAGGTTTTGCACGCATATTACACCCCTTGAGCCATTCAGATAAATCATGACCATGACAGTGCCGGGTCCAAGAACCCCTGGGAAATGGAAGGAGGCAGGGAGGATGAAGTGGACAGGCTAAAGGCTGATGAGGTGGGAGTGCCACCGGGCTGCCCAGGGTCCAAGCCATTCCCATAAACTTACCAGGCATTCATACCATTCCATGAGGATGCCACCTGCTTGGCACAAAAGATGTCATCCAGAATATGGCGGTTGAGAAGGTCTGGGAGTAGGAGGGGAAAATAATGATCTGGTGCATTGGGGACAGGGTGGCATTGTATGTAGATAGGGCCCAGGGGTTCTGGGTCCCTTGGGGCCTGAATAACATCAACAACTACATTAGCTGATTCTGGATAACCTTGACTTACTTGTCAGCTGGTTACCTCAACTACCATGTCGGCTGGTTCTGTACAACCTTAACTCATGTTGACTGATCCTAAGTGACCTTGGCTGTCATGTTGGCTGATTATGAATAACCTCAACCACCATATTGATCAGTCCTGGACAACCTTAAACTCCATGTAGGCCAGTGCTGGATGACTTAAACTGTCATTTTATGTGGTTATGAATTATCTCAATTGCAATGGCAGCTGGTCTGACATCACCTCAACTACCATGTTAGCTGGTGGGAAAGCTACTCAACTGAAAGATTGGTCAGTCCTGGTGACTTTAAACACTATGTTGTCAGGTCCTGGATAACCTCAACTCCCATTTTGGCTGGTTATGATATAAATGACCTCAATCTCCATGTTGGCTAATCCTATTCCACCTCAACTACCATGATGCCTGGTCCTAGGTGATCTTGACTATCATGGTGGATGGACCAAGATGGGCTTAATTGCCATTCTGACTAATTAATGATCTCAACCTCCATGTTGACTTTTTTTGGACAGTCTCAATTTCCAATTGCCATTTCAACTGGTTATAAATAACTTCAACCTCCATGTTGATTGGTCCTCAACTTTCATTTTACCTAATTCTGGACTACCTCAACTTCCATGTTAGCTCAAAGTGAACAACCTTAACTTTCATTTTAGCTAGTATTGAAAAACCTTCATATTCATGTTATCCTGTCCTAGACAACCTCAACCTCTGCCTTGGCCAGTTGTGGACAACCTCAATCTTTAAGCTGGCTAATCCTGAGTGACCTCTTCTGTCACTGTGGCAGGACTTGGACAACATCAAATTGGTCCCAAATAACCTCAGAGTTCATTATGATTTGTCTTGGACAACCTCAAACACCATTTTGGCCAAACCTGAACAACTTCTACAGCTATTCAATTTTGTCCTCAACAAAACGACACTCCTGTCTGGAAAGTTCTCTCCTTTCTGCACAGAGGTACCTTGTTTCTGTTCCTACAACCAGATACCTGCTTCTTCCTTCAGGGGCTGAACAACCTCAACCCCAATTCAGGACAATCACCTTGATTCTATGTGGAGCTAAGTTTCCTGTTTCATGAGTCCCAGAAAACTGAATCCTCCATTCTGGGTGAGGTTTGGGAGCTCTGAGTCCTCCTGACCTAGACAACATTTCAGTGCAGCATGGGTAAGGATACAGGGTGGTGTCTCTAACAGCCCAGGCAACTCTGCTCCTTTCCCTATCATTTTTCTGCTTGTTACTGGAGACTATGGCTCAGATAACTTTGCCCTCTGTGTGTTGGGCCAGGCAGGGCTTCAGGGTATCCCCATTGCTGCCTCACCATGACATTCCATGTGACAGAGGTTCTTGGTGGGTGTAACACCGTTGTCACACCACCAGGCGGAGTTCAGCTGGAAAATGCCGTATTGACTGCTGCCATCAACATTGTGGTCCACAACTGAGGTGTCAAAGCCACTCGCATAATGTGCCATGCACAGCCCTGAATCAGGTAGAGGGAAGGTGGTAGGTAGGCATGGTTTCTGGGAATAGAAAAGGTTAGGAGGAGAGGGGTGGGGACAGTTGTGGGGGTAATAATTTTGGTTTGGTAGTGATGTCAATGTTGGTGATTTTGGTGAGATGTCAGTGATGGCAGTGGTGATGGTATTCATGATGGTAATAGCAGTGATGACACTGATGGTAGTGATGGTAGAGATGAGGGTGATGGTAATGACATCAGAGTTAAACCACTCATCACAGTCAGTCAGGGAGTGACTGAGAGGATCATGCCCTGGTCTGGAAAGGTAATAAGTCACAAGGAGGACCTGTATCTGAGTGTGGTGGGAGGCTTGGGGTGTGGGTGGGGCATGGGGCAACTGAGGTCTCACAGTCTCCAATGCCATAGCCTTGGAAGCCGTTGAGGCCTGCCTTCTCCAGCTTCATAGCCAGGTCGCAGCGTTCATAGATCTTGGCATCCACAGTGGCATCTATCAGCATGGTCAGGGTCATCACCACAGTGCCCCAGGTTTGCATTATGACTCCCACAGGCCTTCCTAGCAGACTCCTTGCTCCAGACTCACTATGCAGTGTTCAGAACTAGGGTATTCTGGAACTCTGGGCTCTATGAGCAAAGACC